AACCTTGTCGAAACGTTGTACATTTCCTGTTAAACCTGAGATGTAGTTTGTACGAGAACATGTGAGTCTGACTTCATCTTCAACCGAGATAATTACATCAGCAACCCGTGTTAGTAATGTATTTACACTACACTACTCTGATTCAAATCCAAAATTAATGCCCATCCTCAGGTTGCCCCGATTGCGTGAGGCATACCTGTTCTAGTATACTGAATAATTTAGATCAGTGCGTCCCTTGTAATCTGACAACCGATATCCCTTTGGTAAAATGTTTATCGGTTCTGTATTCAGCTGCACGTCTTAGACAGTGAGAAGAAAGGAAGTGACACGTGAGCCTGGCATCGTTAGTTTTCAGAATAAATATTTGAATCAAATCACTTCACTGCGCTGTCTAACAGTTAATTCGATATCGAGACACACAGAGAAATGCTATGAAATGTGAGATAGTAATGCGGGCGCAATTTTGCATTCTCTTTCTTGTTTATATTTTTAGTGCTCTTAAGTTACACGAAACGAAGTTTTATTGTAATTGAAAAATTGGATGATTATATAGGTGATTGAACTATTTACAAACATCTAGAGACTCGGCACGGCCAGGAGGTTAGGGCGCTCGACTCGCATTCTCAGGGTCGCGGGTTCGAATCCCCGTTCCACTAAACATGCTCGCCCTTTCAACCGTGGGGGCGTTATAATGTGACGTAACAGAGTAGTCCAAGAGTTGGCGGTGGGTGGTGATGACTAGCTGTCTTTCACTGCTAAATTAGGGACGTCTAGCGCAGATAGCTTTGCGCGAAATTCAAAACCAAATAAACCCTTCCACCATGCCGAAGGCGGGAGTTATTGGTTTTACTCCTACGTGCGTCTGTATATATGAATATCATAACTCGGAAAGTTTTCATCTGACTTTGGCGAACTTTACTTCAAATGTTGAGATAACTAAGTACCTTTGACGTTTGAAATTGAGGCTGATAACAGCTATGGTAGAAGTTTGAAGTTTAAACTTTCGTTACAACTAATTCTCTCTAACCAAACTTCAAACTTTCGTTACAACTAATTCTCTCTAACCAAACTTCAAACTTTCGTTACAACTAATTCTCTCTAACCAAACTTCAACTTTCGTTACAACTAATTCCCTCTAACCGAAGTTTGGTTAGAGGGAATTAGTTGTACCGAAAGTTGAAGTTTCGTTGCGATAGAAGTTTTGAGTTTAATTAAAGGGAATTGGTTGTGATGAAAGTTTGGTATTTGGCCTGAGGAAATCTGATTGCAATAGAAGTTAGAAGTTTAAGTAGCAGGAATTAGTTTGATGAAAGTTTGAAATTCTTCTTAGGGAATTGGATGTTATGAAAACTTTTAAGTTCATTTTTTCCGGTACCTATGTAACAGCTAAATCTTAAGATCACCATGTTACCAAGAGGAAAGAACCTAGAAGCCTGAAATTTTTCAACCATACTAAGTGGATCCTGAGGGTGTGCGCCTGTGTATTATTACTTATCCACGTGCGTGCGCGCATGCGCATCTGTTTAATGAGCCACACTAACGAAAAACCAGATAGAAAAAAAGTGGTTCCTTATATAACAACTCCTAATATATAGAAAAGCCAGTGTGTTTTGGTAACAATGCGCTTCAACAACCGCTTTTTATGTCATATCGCTTAGCAACAAAATAATATAGGTTATTCTTTTATGCTAAAATTGGTTCAGAATACACACACCATCAACCTAATAACCCGAGCGAAGCTGGGTACTTTCGCTAGTTAATAATAAAGAACTTTATTTATATTTTTAGGATAAGCATAGGTAATTTTTGATATGAAAACTGCTTAACTTGAACAAAGACAGATTGTTGGTTTGTAGCGTAGCTTCGGAGTTGTTGGGTATGTGCGGATGGGTAAGTTTTGAGGAAAGTGATGTGTATCAAAAATTAATTAAGTGTGACAAAAAAATCAGTTTCATGTGTTTTTCTTTGATGAAAAAGTTTTACTTCATTTTCACTTAAAAACGGGGAAGGTATATTAAATTTTTTCTTGAATAATTAGCCCTAACCAAATAAAAGAAACTAGTATCACCACAGACAGATTAATGCATAGATTGTTTATAGTGACCGTCCCTAAAAAAATCAACGAATTTGTTTGTCAGCTGAAAGTAGAAAAATATCAATTTATATAAATTAAATTCCGAAGGTTTCCCACAATTAATTACTACAAAGTATATTCAGAAATTCAGTTAAGAACGTAAAATTGATACTTTAAGGGATCGATGCTACGTTACATCAGGAATAAATTATCAATCTGAGACCGCTACGCCCTCTTTCCTCGGGCTCTGAATTATTATTATTTTTTCATTAATTCCTTAATTTACATTTTGGTATAGATATAGTCAAAGATATAATTTCCAAATCAATATTTATGTTCATGTTAATATACTAACTAGATTTTTTTTCTTTTATATGACCAAATTCAGTTCATAATAAGAACTTCAAAATAGTTTGTTACTACGAGCAGTTAATACTTTTAATGTTCGGTCGTTACAGTTAATTTTCTACGGTAATTCAGGCTGTTTTTACTGCTTGGCTATTTTTACACTAAACATAATTTGTGGACTTGTTGTTTGGAATCGTCTGTATATGTGTGCGTGAATAAAACACACATACCCACATGTAAAGTGTGAATTTCAAAATTTAAACCGTTACTCATAACAGATTTCAACTATATAAACTTCGAACGTGTAGTTACTTATTCGTGAAATGTTGTCAATGTAGTACGAAAGTTATAATTTTTAAAGGAAATGTCTGTTGCAACAGCATTCTATTAGGTCGTTAAGAAATTAATGTCGCGTTTTGGAACACTTTCATTAACCACCCCCAAAAAAACGTACATCACGTATGATAGTTATATGAACCGCCTAAACGTCACGTTAGTGTAGCCTATATAATGTTTATTATACCCTAATCCCTTATAGTGATGGCACACGACGGGACATACATTCGTTTGAATACACTAAGGGAAACAACGCCTCTGTAGCCACAAATAATATCAAAGAAGTTTATTGAAATGTTTAGAACGTTCGTAGTGTCAAAGATGGTCAGGTAATTTCACTCATCAATCGGAAAGGTGTTCTTCTCCACGACAATGCACATCCACATGTGGCACGTTTGACGCAACTCAAGATTATGGAGTTAGGTTGGGAAGTTCTCCCCCACCCACCATATTCTCAAGATATGGCACCATCAGATTACCGTCTTTTTCGTTCGCGCAACACCATCTTAATGGTAAAAAAACGTTTGAAATGTGGATGGTGTTAAGAGGACGTCGACATG